CACATTCATTACATTTGATGATATCATTATTGTAAATTAAGAATAGTAATGGCCCCAAAATACTTCCCTATGGAACCCCGTGGTCTATGCTTATTGCTGTTGATACAAATTCATTGATTTTGGTTACCTGCTTCCTTCCTGTGAGGTAATCACTGATCCAATCAAGTACTTTTCCTTTAATGCCATATTTTTTCAATTAATATTTCACGATTAACCGTTTCAAATGCACGTATAAGATCTTAAAATACTGCTACAGTGTACATGCCTTTACTCATTTTATCTTTCCATGCAGTAACTGTAAGCTGAAGTGCGAATTCGCATGAATGTCTGGCTCTAAAACCAGATTAGTTTGTGAAAAGTATGTTTTTTTTTTATTGAAATATTCCAACAGTTGTTGATATACTACTGATTCTAAGAGTTTTTCAGTGCAAGGTAAAGTGTTAATTGGCCGATATTCATCACATTTTTTTGTACTTGGAACTTTTTCGATAGGCGTAACTGAACTTGTTTTTTGATCATCTGGAAAACTACCATTTTGTAACGAAGTGTTGACAAAATGACACCACACATGTCCAATTACTTCAAAACTACTCTTTTAATTTTACTCGATATTGAAAATGTCCTTATAGAACGAACCTGCAGTAACGTTAGTTACAAAAAAAAGTTAGTTATAAAAAAAAGTTTCAATTCGCTTTTCTTCATTATGATTACCTACCACGTAGTAATGGCTATACTTCCATCAATTTATTTACATTTGAAATTTTCTTTTCACAACAATCTAGCAGACATCATTTATTATCTACTATACAGATACTTCAATTCAATCGTTTTGTTAATGATACTTTGTAATCCTTCTTTTTTTGTTATGAAATGTATGCAGTAGAAGTGTAACATTGAAATATGGAAACTTGGTATAGTTATGTCACATATTTGAACTACAATGGGACAAATTGGAACATTTTCAGGAGAAAAAGTTATTTATAAAAAAAAAAGCTTCAGATGACTTTCACCTTCTACTTATGAGATAATGATGATCAATGCCTTCAGAGAATTGTTAATTTTTTTTTCTGAAGATGATCTGTTTTTGCTGTTCTAGTAGCATCAGAATTTTTTTTTCTATAAGTGTAATGATTATTGGTTCTTTTGACAGAAGCATCTGTAAATAATTCAGTTTGGGCTCCAAAAAGTGGATAAGCCTATGCATTTCACATTTATTTTGTTACTTTAATATTGATAGTGGATATCTCAGTCCTTTTCATCCTCGTTTTTTGTAGAAACGTTTGGAGGGAAGAAAAAAAAAGTTCTTTATACGTTTTTTCAATGAACTTTCATATAGTTGAATGTAATATATATTAAAATCTCACAGTCAAAGCGTTCACTGAAAATTTGCTTATTCGTTTACTGAACATAGGTTCGCTACTGTTTGGGATGTCGCTTAAGTAAGTTTCTTTACAAATATCTGACTTTCGTAACCTGAGGTGAATCAGGTGACTTCTCATATCTATAACAAATCGTGCGTCTCTCTCTATTTTATTTGCAAAACAGAGAAAAATGTTCGATATTTCTGTCACTTCTTTGAACTAAACTGAATAATATTCTATTGAAGTTGATTCAGAGACTCTCATTTTGTTCTAAAGGAAACATTAATATCAAGTCATACTATAGAATCATAAAATTGAATCCACGTCACCATCTGAATGTAAAAAAAACATACAGGGTTTGTGTACAAAAAGAAGAGTAGATTTTCATCTCGAATAATTGCATTTGTTTATGTTTTCGGAAACACCTTCGTTTAGAATATTTGGATTTTTTTAGAAATCGTTAGAATTTAAGGGAATTTCATAATTATCCATGGATTTTGACATTGCTATTCACTATTTCCTCAAGAATTGTTTGAAAAAATCCTTTTTGGCACACTGCTCCTGAAGTTAGCAATCGGAAGAAAGGTTAATAAATGGAATTCGGAATATCTAGTATGAAACATATCTATTGAAACTAGAATAAAACTGATGTCTCACGATGCGTGTTACCCTGGCTTCCTCAAGTGATAACTGAGACTCACACTTGGTTAAATCCAGATGATACTAACTCAATCAGAAAATCACCCGTCAAGGCACAGCAATTTTGGTGAGTGAAAAATGGTTTCCGAAGAAAAAAAGTTATTTTTTATCTATATCTCTGAAGTCAACCTTCTCTCAGATTAATATAACTTAACCGCCACAAATTCAAGAAGTAATTTCTCTAGCGAAACTCTTATTCATCCTGTCTCACATACTTACTCTACACTGTTGAAATCATTGTTATCAATTTATCATAAAGATCACCAGAGTTATTAAAAATTACCCTTCACAGACAAGACTATAAAACCATCACAAACAAAACGATGGAGGCTATCGATTCCTGACAATTTGCCAGAAACAAACGAGGTAATGAACCCCAAACTGAAATGAGGGTGCGCGATATCTTTAACTGTAGCGATATCAATCCGATGGCTGTTAGATTTATTGCCGCTGGCACTTACGTCAAATCCGTAATAGAATCGGAGTCGATTGCATGTGTAACTCCCATCATCGTCAATATTGTTCAGAATATGCATCATGAATATATTCAATAACATTGGAAATCGGAGGTGGTGAACTAACAACTCCTAATGGAGATGCAACAGTTGATGGGGAAGGTGTGTTTCAGAGTAAGCAGTGTGCCCAAATAAATTCGTTTTTGAATTGCACAAAATTTGGCGATGCTAGCTAGGATGAATGGGCTGTTTCATTGATCAGATGAAATATCTGTTTCTTAGAGATAAAGATAGATATCAATACTTTTAATGTTATCGTTGTTTTATATCACTGACACACAAAATATTCAATTGAAACAGGTAGATTAATAACCGAATATTTCACAATATAAACCATTATTCTAGGGTTCTAATGAAGCCCAACCAATTTTTTCAGTTTCTCTCTCCAACTATCCATACTTCAGATCAAATCAAATTCTCTGTTAGAAATCAAAACAGTGAAACCTTCTACTATTTTTTTCTAAGGTATTGAAGTTGCCCTAATTTTGAATTCACTTCGAGACATTTTGATAACTCAGGAATTTTTATTCCGGTCTGAAGCGACAACTAACCCATATTGACAAGAATTGAGTCTGGCCAATTGCATGTGTTATCCGTCATTGAATTATCAATTCCGTTCAATTTCCGATATATAATTTGAAAGACATAATATTCATTAGCTGTGATATGCAGATTGACATTTTCTCCTCGTTACCTTCACATAAAACGGATTATGGTAAACAAATATAACTAATTAATGAATCATATATAAAGCTCATTATAACACAATCCGTGTTACAATGTTTTTTCCAGGAAGTATTGTGTATATATAATAGTACAGGGCGAGTCAACAAGATTCCCTCGGTCCATTGCTATCAGAGGAAATAATTTTATGAACTGCTCAATTTTTTTGCAGTCGTATCGATAAATACTATCATTCGTCATTCGATTCTATATTTTTTAGCTCCCTGAAAAAATCGTTTTCGAATTGCCAAGTTATTCCAGAAAAACCTATTTTGCAGACAATATTTTTTTAATTCACTACCCGCATGTCTACAGCAATTGTCTTCCTTCCGGCCTAAAAAGTGTAGCATCAATTTTAGTATTTAAACGGAGAATCAGATAATATCTCGTGAATGGTTGTTTTTACATTATTGATGAATATTTTGAATATCCACATGGCCAATCAACAATTAATATCATGGCCGGCATTATCTATTTCAACTATTATGTACATGTATAAACACTTTTGATTGTTTATTTCAAATAAGCACTCTCATGTGTTGAATTTATGCATTTTGTAATCCTGTTGTACTAACGTTTATATACATTTCATGTTTTTTACCATTAACCACTCCTGTATTATTGTGAAGTGATCATTTTAAGGAAACAATACATAGGGTGCTCGGTAAAACTGGTCAAATTTCATGCACTTTCAAACAGACATATTTCAACTTTTCCAAATGGAACACTCTGTGAAATGAAATTGTATGAAATTTTTCAACGTCTCACTATTTTTTTATCAGAAGTGTACCATACGAAAAACTGATATTTCACGAATTATACCCAGTTTTAGTAACTACCCAGTTTGTGTGATAAAAAAAGCATTTTTTTTGCGTTCATTCACTCCAATTTGTTTTTCGAGTATTCAAACTATATAGTGAATTGTTGAAACATTTCAGTTGAGATTCCCGAAACTATCATAGTGATGTTGACTCACCATTTCTAAAAAATATCCACTTAGTTGCTGCAGACATGCGGGTGGTGAATTAAAAAACTATCTTCTGCAAAATAGGCTTTACTTGGCCGACTGAATCACCCAATATGCGAGAAAGTAATTTGTAAATATAGTAATAATCAATATGACTACAAAAAAAAATTGGGCAATTTGAAAAATTGTTTCTCTTGATAGCAATAGACCAAGGGAATCTTGTTGACTCACCCTGTATGTTACATATCTAGTGGAAGTAGTCACTTTGGAAGACGGAAATACATTTCTGAATATCATTTACATGTTATGTTTATAGACGGAACAGTTTGCATTAGAAACGAATATTTGGCAAATTGAAATAATTTTTCATCCCGTAACCTTTTATAGAATATGGTGCGTATGCAACTTGGACGAGTGACATTGAATGCAAGTTGTAGAATAATATATTCGATTGAAAAAAATTGTCTGGATAAGTTTAGTTTACCGAAAAGTCTTTCTCGAAATCTAGTAAATTCCTATATTGGAAAAATAGTAGTGAGTTGATACGCAAAGCGATAGGTAACTTACATTTCACATTCATCGCTTCTGAAAATATGGAGCGGAAAGTCACAGTGGACTAGCCTGTAATTTTTTTCAACAGTAGTGTTTCTAATTCCTATTCCAACCTGTATATGAAAATTTTCAGAATGAATAAAAAAATCAAAATCAATTCACTGTTCATCTCTTCATTTTCAGATTGAGCGAAAACCACTTCTATATTGAATCTGACATCGTTCTCTACAAAATGTGCCAAATTTGCTTGGTAGACAATACGGACTTTGAGAAGCAGTCAGCGTAAATAAATGTGCTTTGGTTCCACCTCATAAAGTGTGTCTGGATTGTCTTTCTGAGACCATAGTGATCATTAACTTATTTGAAGTGCGGCGTATTTCACTGAAATGAAAATGTGGTCGTTGGTGATAATATTTCCAGCGTTCTTGTTACAAGGTAAGTGTTTCCAAATATGATAACTTTGTTTTCAGACAATTAAGTGATACAAAAAAAAAATTATTTGATAATATTGTATACATGAAAATAATTTTATTCGAATAACGGATCATCTACACAGACAACCAAGAATTCTACAGTTCGAATGTATCACTGTGTAAAATGATTTGATCATCACAGGGTAGAGAAACTGGGTTGAATATAAAATCAAGGTGAAACTTGCAAACTGTTAGGTATAAGTGATCTGTTAGACTCTGCTGATTCTCTGAAAAATAATATGTATCAACGAATCTTTTCGGTTGGTCATCTTCAGATTGTATTGAATTGGAAAATGAACGAAAAAATCATGAAACTAAAATAACAAGCACCATGCTACCACACCTTGCCATGATGGCATGACTGCATATAAGTATTACCTTTGTTTCCTCTCCATTTGGGGTGATCACTTGGTCTCTGACTCCGTCTCACTTGAATTGAAGCAGCTGAAGAAATATTTACTTCGGTAAGCATCTTCTTAGGGTCTGACTCCTCTAGACCTGTACGTTAAGTAGGTTGTGTTGATGGGCATGGTACGATTGCGCACGGCCTGTGTAAACCACGAGGCTGGGCCTATGGCGAGAAGCGCTTACTGCGCAACCTCTGCTGCAGCCAACCAGTGATGTAATTGAACCCAGGTTTGTGTTTAATAAACCCTACAAAATACAAGAAAAGCAGAACACAGAGTCAGATGTCACAAATGCAATACGCGTATATACAGACGGCTCAAAAACCAAAGAAGGCTCAGGATGTGGAGTGCATGCCTGATCACTAAGCCTAAGGATTAAGTGGGGAATGGGAAAAAATACCAGCGTGGTCCAAACAGAACTGGCTGGTATCTCAATTGCCACAAAAAAAAATAACCAGGAAAGGAATTTCTGGCAAAAACATAACAATCTGCACTGACAGCAGACAAGCCCTAACAGCTTCTAACAGACAACGTATAACCCCAGTGCTAGTTACAGATACAGAAGCATCTTCTTATGCTCTGAGAAAATTCTAATCAGTTTCTCTTTCTAAAGTCAAGCGAAGATATGTTTCGCTTTCTCATTTCTGAAGCTCACGATTTCTTCAAAGAATTTGATCTGAAAATTAATATTGAACATTTGATCAAAGATAGGATTAACTGTTTTTCTGGAATGAATCCAGGTTAGATTCTCCCATTTTTCACTGAAAAATGATATTTAGACTTCCGTCAGTATTCATTCAAAATATTCCTTATTGTACCAATTTGTAATATATTTTGTTGTAAGTTAAAGGCATTATTTTCAGTACGTTTCGATGAGAAAAAAAATAATGTAGCATCATTTGTCGCCGAAAGGGCGCTACCAAATTTCTTTATTGAAAGAAGGGTCTTCTGATATTGAGTTTGATAGGTATTTTGAAGATCTATCCAATAATCTTCCATCATCGGAAATCGAATTATCCGTTCTCTAGTAATTAGCAGTTTTTATTCGTTTTGAGAATCTATAAATATCATAATATCAAAGAAAAATCATCGGATAATGAAGTCTATTCACAAATGTTTCTTCTACATTATGAAATGTTCCTGAACAATTTCGTTGCACCACTTTCTCCATTCATGGGTTCTGAAACGAATTTCGGATGTGTATTGTATACTTCAGATGTCACATCTACCCTCTAAAACATCTAGAGGGGTCATCAGGCGATCTAGTGTTCCTCTACTCTAAGGTATCACGTTTGCCTGTCTATCAATTTGGAAAATTATCAAACCCTAACGTGTTTTGAACTAATCAGAATTCAGCATTATCTGCACTATCTGATGTGACACAACAGAGTTTTGTGATGATTGGTGTAATCTGAAAGTTTACGTTACACAACCACAGTTTACTCCAGAGCTCATGGTTATCATAAGAGGTGGTCAAAATTATCCTAGAATCATTCCAGATTTGTAAAGAACTTCTTTATTTCAGAAGTGCAGTGAGTCTGAAATGAATTTTTTTTCTAAATTATGATATTTATCGTTTGTCTGTAAATAAAAAATATCTTGTATGAGATGATTTTTGAGAGACTCATGTAGGTGATAGTGGAAGGATCTTCAAGATCATTCCCGAAATTTCCCTGGCTAGATGTTTGTTTCAACTCTGATGATCCATCATCCTGTTCATTTGAAGTCACGAAAATTATTCTATCATCCATAGATGCATATATTTCTCATGAAACGAACCTCGAATGGCAAACTTTGGTTCAACGAAGATTGCGAGGAAGCTGTCGCCTACCGGCCGTAGCGAAAATATCCTGAAACTGAACTAGGTTTTGAATAACAATCAGAGAATTAGGGATAAACTGCTTACCAATTCGAACAGATATAGATATTTCTGATTGGTAGCTGAAGCTGTTAATCAAAACTCCACAAAATCCACAATTCGATCAAAACAAGATGGTTCGATTGCAACAACATCCATAGAAAAATCAAATCTACTTGTTAAACAATTTGTGTTTCACTCCACAGTCGAATTTCTGAGAAAAACAGTTCCCATCATTTCCACACTAAAATCCACAATGACGGAAATTACCTTTTGAAGTCTAGTGAGGTAAATTTTGAAACAGCTCCATATCAACAGGGCGTCTGGTCCTGATGAAGTGCCCGTCATCGTACTTGAAACGTGCGCCAATAAACCCGCTCCGTATTTGGTAGACTTATCAACCTGTCTTACCAGGAACGGGTTTTTTCTTCCTGTTGGAAGATTGCATCCAGTTTTTTCCCAGAAAGGACAAAAAAATCTTCAAAATAACTATAGACCAGTCGCTTTCCTATCAGTGATATCAAAATTGAATATTCAGAAGACTGTAACATCTCGAGCTATCATCAATGTTATATGCGAATTAGCGTCTCACACGTATTAAATTACAAGCGATAACAGCTTCCTGCTAAAAGTGCTAATTGTGCAGTATCAGCAAGATGAACACTTGTGTTCCAGACAAAGCAATTGCTGAAACTGTTCAAATATTGTTTTCCATACCAAACATATAAATAGAGCCTGCGAGGTCAGAAAGATGTTCATTAACGATTTATTCATTCTCAAGTATAGTTCATATTAATTACTTATTCAGTTAATGTTCCAAGTTTTTCACATCTATTCAAATATTGTAATGAAGTGTTTATAAAGAAATAAACCAATTTTTAAAAAGTGAATTGTGAAAAACAAGATATAACATCAATATGACTTTCAAAAACAAAGATCAACAGGCGATTATATCTAGAATAACGCAATCAAGAAATATGTGTAGTCAAGAGCTGTTGCGTCCGATATTTCTAAGGCCGTTGACCGTATGTGGCAAAAGGATTTGCTGGCCAAACATCGATACTACAGCTTGTCAGATAATTTTGGTGTATGTTTCTTCAGCTTTCTGAAAAAACGTTCCCTGCAAGTAGCCGTCGATGGATATATCTCGAATAGTTTTACCATCAACGCTGGTGTTCCCCAGGGATCCATATTGTCTCCAACCCATTTTTATGGTATACTAACGACTCATTGGGTGAAACTAAGAATCCAAAACATTGCTTCGTCTCGTCATTCCGTTTGGATTTTAGGACATCGGCTACGGAGACACATCTTCACCGGCAGCAGAAGGTTGCATATTTTAATGAGGATCTAGAAGTGATTTCAAATTGTGGTGAAAGTAACCGGGTTCGATTGAATGCCATTAAAACCCAGGCATATATTTCCTTCAAAAATATAAATGTCTTCGAACCGGATATAATAATGTCAGGACAGACAATTCCACTTTCTGCTTCGATAAGTTTGTTGGGGGTTAAAATGGACACCGACTGCTTCTCAAAAGCTTGGAACACTGTTTCGAACCAGAAAACTGTACACACTTCAGCAACTTTTGATGCTTTATAAAGCTCAGATCAGACCTTCTTTGGACTATTGTTCTCATGTATGGAGCTCGAACCCTAAGCATACCCTAAAGCTGCTGGATTCTATCAAGAGAAGTGGCAACCACTTGATTGGAGACACGAACATCACTTGCAACCTTGATTGTTTAAAACATTGATGTAAGGTTGAAGATTTTTTTTTTCTAGATACTTTCACGGGAGGTGTTCAAGTGACATGGCACATTCAATTTCACTAAGAGGGGTACATATCATATATACGTGACGGACTGTGACTACTCATCATTTTGAGGTTCAACTCAGTATACCTCGAACTTCACTGTCAAAGAACTTTCATCTGGAGAACTGCGTTTATGTGGGATAAACTTCCTGAGAATGTTTTTTCAAATGAATTCAATATGCAGCAATTCAAATCCAAACTAATTCGCTGCTGTCGCACAGACACCACTGTCAGAGTGCCTTGAAGATTTTTATGTAGTGCTTGTGTTTCTTTTTTTGAAAATATTGACAATATTTTCAATTACACAAAAATAAAAAACGAAAAGGAAATAACCTCACAACTTTTCATCAAAAACTTCACGAGTATTTACATATTCGGAACCTGAATTTGAGGAGTGTATCTAGAGTTATACAGGTTGTTCAATTTATATCTTTACCATATTATATTCTGCAATATGTCTGGTAATAAAAGGTAGAACTGAACCTACGAAAGTGTTTTAGTTGGGAAATTATTTGATTCTAATAGAATCTTCTGAAATCTTCTTGGGAGAAGTATATTCATCTTTGAGTGCGTAACAAGTTTCTTGTTTGAAATTACCAACAAATCAAAAAATTTTCACTGGCGGTTGCATTGTGCATTGAATTTTGATGATGAAAAATTACCAAAATTGAATATTTCATATGTTTTCAAGAATGTTTTCATCTGAAGAGATGAAGGGAATCACGTACGATGAACCACTATGATAAATACCTAATTAGATACTACCTTCAGATTAACTTTTTAGGAATGGGCTTTTTCTTTCAGTTCATATTCGCCTCAAATACATAATCTACATATTTCTGTGGAAAGTTTATTGGAGATATTCACTTTTTCTTGTATATA